AAAAAAAAAAAAAAAAGGACCAGGTTTGCTGGTCTGATAGAGCCTGATGGTACCACTGAGACTCTGACCCCTAGCTGCCATTCAGGTCTGGAATTGAACCCACACCTGTGGCTTCCAGCCAAACAAAAGACAGGGATATGAGATGAACATTTCTATTAGGTACACTCCTTGGAGAGAACAATCAAGGGAGAACAGATGGGCTGTGTATGCACAGGGAGAAAGCTCAGGGGGCAGGAGTGCAAGGAGGGAAGGACACGGGGAAGAGGTATCTATGGAGAAGAAGTGGTAGGAGAGTTGTTGCACTGTGGCTAACTGTAGTCAATGTCATGAGACAAAGTGTATGTAAGGTGCTGTATGGAAAGTGAATTTGCTCTGTAAACATTTACCCAAATCACAATTTGAAAAAAAAGATAAGAAGATGGATTATGTGAAGAAGAACATGGCATCAGGTTTGGAGGAAGACTCATCAACTACCTGTGATATGCAGATGACACAACCTTGCTGGCTGAAAGTGAAGACCTGAAGCTCTTATTGATGAAGATCAAAGACTACAGCCTTTAGTATGGATTACACCTCATTATAAAGAAAACAAAAATCATCACAACTGTACCAAGAAGCAACATGGATAAACAGAGAAAAGAGTGAAGTTGGAAAAGATTTCATTTTACTTGGATCAACAATCAATACTAATGGAAGCAGCGGTCAAGAAATCAAATGATATACTGCTGTAAAAGACTCTTTAAAGTGTTAAAAAGCTAAGATGTTACTTTGAAGACTAAGGTGTGCCTGACCCAAGTCATTATATTTTCAATTGCCTCATATGCATGTGAAAGTTGGACAATGAATAAGGAAGAATTTGATTTATGATGGTAGTGAAGAATATTGACTATACCATGGGCTGCCAGAATAAAGAACCAATCTGTCTTGGAAGAAGTACAGCCAGAATACGTTTTGGAAGCAAGGATGGTGAGATTTTGCCTCTCATACTTTGGTCATATAGTCAGGAGGGACCAGTCCCAGGAGGATTATCATGCTTGGTAAAGTGTTTGATCAGTGAAAAAGAAAAAGACCCTCAACAAGATGTATTGACACAGTGGCTTTAACCGTGGGCTCAAGCATGGCAACAATTGTGAAGATGGCACAGGACCAGGTACTGTTTCATTCTGCTGTACATACTATCATTATGAGTCAGAACCAACTTGATGGCACCTAGTAACAAAAACAACATTTCAAACTGTGCAAGAAAAATCTATTTACTAATGCCTCCACTTTCTAGTTCACAAAATGAAATGATTACTGTGAAATGCTCCCAAAAGGTAAAAATGAGAGTGATGGTATTATTATTATTAAGCGATGTTGCTTCCTAGGGCAATAGCTTTGAGGGATGGTCAATTCTGCTAAGCTCGGACTTAGGCAAGTTCCTGAAAGTAAAACAAAAAATGCCTATTTGAAGTCTATGAAACTTGAAATTCAGGTAAACTATGACCATCTACTTCAAGTCTGACTCTTAAATGACTAGGGCATCTATAGCCAATATAAATTCATAAAATCAGACAGGAATAAAAACATATTTGGTAAGTCTGACCAAACTAAAACCAAACCCACTGCTGTTAAATTGATTCTGACTTAGATACTCTATAGGACAGAGGAGGACTACCCTATAAGGTTTCCAAGGCTATAAATATTTATGGGAGCAAGTTGTCTCATCTTTCTCCCATAGAGCAGTTGGTAGGTTCAAACCACCAACCTACTGGTTAGCAGCTGAGCACTTAATCACTGTACCAACAAGGCTCCTTGATAAGTGTAAACTTTCTCTATACTCAGAAAGGAACACCCAGCTTCCCAATGTTGCTGTAATGTTGCTGTATCCAGACTGGCCTTTTAGGGATGCCCATAGACCACTATAATACCATATTCCTATGAGGCATTTCAGCCCTACAAAAGAATGTACAGAGAAGAGGACTTGACTTTAAATCATGGGTCAGTAAGTAAAAAATACATGACTTCCAAATTCCTCTTTTCAAGGCCCCTCCCTTTACTCTTCAACAATGGCTTCGTCCCTAAGCCCAGAGGGCAGGACAACCCTCTCTGCACCAAGCACTCACCAATTTCCAAAGCCACAGTCCATGACAGCTTCTAAAAGGGCCATTTCTTCTTGAGCAGTCCAGCTGGGATCAAGAACAGGAAAATCTGAAGTCTAAGAAGAAAACAGTTTTGCCTAAGAACAGAGAAAAAAATGGAACCTAGGAACCCCAACTGTAGTACTAGTTTATTTTTTAATAACTGTTACATTCTCATTGTATTGAGAGGTATCTAATGTATATTCCCATTAGTTGTCCACCTACCACATCCCTATTTCCACCATTAGCTACAAGGGTCTCCAATAAACATTATCATTCATAAATGTTACATATCTCAAGTAGAAATACGTATTTTGTAAACTTTGTACAAAGGTAGAGATAAAGCATGCTTACATTTAGCTAAGCAGTAAAAGCAAATATAAATGTGAGCATGTTTATATTTTTTTAATGGAAGAAAAATATCACATACCTAAAAAAATAAACCAACTACTTATAGGGGAGGGAGGGAATGGTAGAAAGGACAAGGATAAAAGCTAGAACTTTCTTATAGATTTAACTTAGAAAACACATAACTATTACACGTTGTTGTTGTTGTTATGTGCCATCGAGTCAGCCCCGACTCACAGCGACCCCTTCTTGGGTTTCCAAGGCAGTATCACTACGGAAGTAGATTGTCCTATCTTCCTTCCGAGGAGTGGCTGGTGGGTTTGGACCGCCAGCTTTCTGGTTAGCAGTCAAGTGCCTTAGCCACTATGCTACCAGAGCTCCTAACTATTACACATAAAGTAAAATAAAATTTTAAAAACACAATCTGCAAGAATTAAATGCAAAATGTAACAAATAAACCTGTGAATCAATATGAAGGCAAAATCACACAGAAAGGAATGATCCCAAGTGACTTAAAACACAGCAATTTAATGACTTATTCCTAGTAGAGTACACCTAATAAACAAAAAGAACTGACCTAAAAAAAAATCTTAAACTGTTTTCAGTAGTGTTGTTATAGTTATTCTGAGATTATTCCATGCAATAAGATATGGGGTAAAGGCAAACAAGTGATTATGTTGGCATCACTGCAAAGCAGGGCTTTGGCATAGGGAAAAAATAAAAAAAAGAGATATAAGAGTTTTAAGGCTATGTATTTAATAAAGAAACCTTATAGTCCTGTATTTGAATTACAAGTATTAGTAGGGATGCATTTTATCTTAATAAACAAACAAAAAAACTCCTCTTATCCACTGAAAAGGCCCGGAAGCAATTCCAGAGACAATGACTAACCTAATAACAACAAGCACTTCTAGTACTCAGTTCAGTCTCTAAATACCATTTCCCACTAAAAGGAACCAGGGCTCCTTAAAGAAAAGGTTGATTCCAGGTCTGGGTCAGGAAAAGTACAAAACAAGTCTGGTGCATCTCCTTCCAGCAGAAAGCAAAGAGAACAGTGGTTATGTTAAAAGGATTCAGGAGCAAGCTAAGGCTCTCACTAAGTAAAAAGGGAACATGTGAGTATCAATAGGATAATAAGTGCAAATAATTTAAACATACCAAATACTTCAAATTTTTGGAGATGCTAGAGAACTAATGCATATTTTTTTAACTAGTGAAAAAGGGAAGTAATCAAGCATTTATCCTTTCTTTCCTATACAAACCACACTTCAGGGTAACCCAATAATGATAGTAAACTCTTTCAAAAGAATTACTCTAACTCACAAATTGAAAGGAATGATAGACATAAAATATGACTATTTTGCAACTCCCAATGAATAGATGGAATTAACTACCAATTTTCAGGAAACAAAGAAGACAGAAAAACAGCAAAATCTAGCTGTAGTCACAGCTATAAGATAAATAATGTAGCTTTTTAAAAATCAAAACTAAGGAATGAAAGAGAGAGATGGAGAGAGGAACCACACTCTAGAATATATTTCAGAAGCAGCTAACTGCAACGCATGGAGACCTTACTTCCACCCTCATTACAACAAAAGTAAAAAGAAAAAAAAAAAAAATATATATATATATATATATACATTTATGATACCACTACCCACCCACTAGAATAGCTAAAATGAATGAGACAAACATCAAATTTTGGCAAGAATATAGAGATGATTGGAGAACTCTAAAATATTGCTGGTAGAAATTTAAAATGATATAACCACTTTGGGAAATTTTTTTGACAGTTTCTTAAAAAATTAAGCAATCATTTATTCTCAACTCAGCCATTCCACTCTTAGGTATTTATCCAAGAAAAATTAAAATATATCCACAAAAAGCATTATATGAAAATGTTTATACCATTTTTATTCATAGTAGCTAAAAACTGGGAAAAGCCAGATGTCCACCAACAGAAGAATGGATAAACTGTGGTATAATCATACAACATACTGTTACTCAGGATTAAAAAGGAATGACTATTAACATACACAACATCATGCTCAGGTTTCAAAATCTCAAAAACATGCTAAATGATGGAAGGGACAGATAACAAAGATGAATCCTTTTGCACATACAATACTGCATTGTCAGTGATGGCAAACATTGATCTACAGGTGGACAGATGGGTAGATAGGCTTAACTATTAGGTATGTCTATGCAGGGAGAAGTGTGCCCATGACCACGTATAGGGTTGGCAGACAATGTTTCTACAAGTGTTTTTGCATGCTCAATAAGAATTCCCAGGTACATAGTAGAGCTGACAAGGGACAAGGTTGTAGTCACTTCTTGGCCACAGCCAGCTACCCAGAGGGAGTGAGTAGTTGGACCTGTGGGCTTGGGACCATGGTCATAGGGGACATGAAGCTCAATTGGCATAACATACTACACAAAACATTGTTCCACATGCAAGCAGTGACTGGGATTTTAAAAGCTTGCAAGCGGCCATTTAGATCCAACAATCTCCTCATCCAGAGCAAAGAAGAATGAAGAAAACCAAAGATGCACCAAAACAATTAATCCAGTAACTGGTACACCATGCAATCCTCAATCTATATGAGACCAGAAGAATTAGATGGTGCCTGGCTACCACTGTTCTATGTAAGAGACCCTGAATAGAGTGGGAGAAGAAAACTCAAAATCATAAAAAAAATGAAAAGGACCAGGTTTGCTGGTCTGATAGAGCCTAGTAGAATACCTGACACTATGGCCCCTAGCTGCTATTCAGGTCTGGAATTGAACCCACTCATGTGGCTTCCAGCCAAACAAAAGACAGGCATATGAGTTGAACATTTACATTAGGTAGGTACATTCCTTGGGGAGATCAACCATGGGAGAATAGAAAGACCGTGTATGCACAGGAAGACAGCCTGGAGCACCATAGTGCATGGGAGGGAAGGACACAGGGAAGAGGTAACTATGGGGAGGAAGTGGGAGGGGACCCATTGCATTATGGGAAACTGCAGTCAATGTCATGAGACAAAGTGTTTGTGAGCTATTGTTGTTGTTACGTGCCGTTGAGTTGGACCCGACTCACAGTGACCCCTCCTTGGGTTTCTGAGGCAGCATCATTACAGAAGTAGATTGCCACATCTTCTTTCTGAGGAGTTGCTGGTGGGTTTGAACCTCCAGCCCTCTGGTTAGCAGTCCAGTGCCTTAGGCACTACACTACCAGAGCTCCCATGTGAGCTATTAAAGAGATGCAAATCAAAACAACAATGAGATACCATCTTGCTCCAGCACTAGTAGCAAAGTTCAACAAGACAGAAAACAAATGCTGGAGAGGATGCAGAGAGATTGGAACTCTCATACACTGCTGGTGGGACTGTAAAACGGTACGACCACTGTGGAAAGCAGTATGGCGATTCCTTCAAAAGTTGTTATTAGAAATACCTTTTGACCCAGCCATTCCATTACTAGGTATATATCCTAAAGAAGTGAGAGCCAGGACAAGAACAGACACATGCACACCCATGTTCATCACAGCACCATTTACAATAGCCAAAAGATGGAAACAACCTAGGTGTCCATCAACTGAAGAATGGATAACCAAATTATGGTACATACACAAAATGGAATACTACGCAACTCTAAAGAATAATGTAGAATCTGCAAAACACCGCATAATGTGGATGAATGTGGAGGACACTGTGCTGAATGAAATAAGTCAATCACAGAAGGACAAATACTGTATTATTCCATTATTGTAAAGAGTTAAGGAAAGGTTTATGTATAGAAGGAAATTTTCTTTGTTGGTGACCAGAGGTGGGGGGTGGGGGTAGGGTACACTGTTAGATAGATAGAGGTAAGTATTGATTTGGGTGAAGAGAAAGGCAATACACCAAATGTGAGTGATCAACATGGTGGCAATGAGGAAGAGGAAGACATAAAGAGGTACATGGGAGGTGCACACAACAAAGATGAACCCCTCTGCACACACAGTACTGCGTTGTCAGTGAAGGCAAACACTGATCTACAAGTGGACAGATGGGTGGACAGGCTGAACTATTAGGTATGTCTATGCAGAGGGGAGTGTACCCAAGACCCTGTATACAGCTGGCAGACAATGTTTCTACAAGTGTATTTGTATGTTCTGGAAGAATTCCCAGGTGTATAATAGAGCAGATGAGGGACAAGGTTGTAGTCACTTCTTGGCCACAGCCAGCTATCTAAAGGAAGCAAGTAGTTGGACATGTGGGCTCGGGACCATAGTTGCAGGGGACATCAAGCTCAATTGGCATAACATAATACACAAAACACTGTTCCACCTCCTACTTTGGTGAGTAGAGACTGGGATCTTAAAAGCTTGCAAGAGGCCATCTAGATGCCATGATGGGTCTCTCCTTGTCCAAAGCAAAGAAGAATGGAAACAATTAGTCCAAGTGACTGGTATACCATGCGATCCTCAGCCTTTACGATAATGAGATCAGAAGAACTAGATGGTGCCCAGCTACCACTGTCAACCACTCGGAGGGGGATCTATGTAGGAGATCCTGGATAGAGTGGGAGAACAATGTGGAACAAAACTCAAAATCACTTGGAAAAAAAAAAAAAAGGACCAGGTTTGCTGGTCTGATAGAGCCTGGTGGAACCACTGAGACTATGGCCCCTAGCTGCCCTTCAGGTCTGGAATTGAACCCACACCTGTGGCTTTTAGTCAAACAAAAGACACGCATATGAGGTG